ACACAGCCCAGTTAAAATGCTTCACCATGAAGTCAACAAAGTCTTCATTGTCAATGTTTGATCTACTGATGCATGTTCCAATTGGGAAATCATTCTGTGTTTGTCTAACTTGCACTGAGGTGTTAGCGTAGCTGCCAGAGTCCAGCCCAGAGAATTTCAGTACAACCTCACGTTTACGTATCTGCAGTGCAGCAAGTCAGTATAAATTAAAATGCATACAAAAATAATGCAGAACATCACTTATCTTAGCAATGAAGAATGGAGAATTGAGGTGATGATAAAGTACTACAGTCTGAAATATATGTAACATTAATTTCCAGCATGGAAAATTTTGTTTTGTTCATATTTAAAATTATGCTTTTTAGTAATCGTAAGCCGATTTTAGAGATTGAGCAATTCATGATATATGTAAAACAAAGGGAGGTAAACACGTCTCGGTATCATACATCAATCAATCCTTCGGACAGGTTAATGGTAAATTTGCTGATCTATATGCAGGCACCATGCCTGAGCATTAACCTCTAGAAGTTATTATATCATCTGCATATAACTTATTCTGCATATTTTATTCTCTTTTTGTTCGAGTATGGCCAAGGGAGGGGTATTAAGCAAACAAATTCAAGTGCAAGGCAATTTGGGAACATTCCATATGTTTCTGAAGCTATTCTCACCTTATCTGTTTGGATCTTTAAATATCTAAATCTTGCATGTCTATCCACAGGAAAAATTTGAAGTCCAGCCACCATTAAGTCTACACCAGAAGCAGGACCTTGGACATAAACCATAACCTTTGATGGCTGTTTTTCAATTCTGAAGGACCCTCCTATTTCATGCCACGTGTCATCAGAAACCTCAGTTTGTCCTCCATTGACCCACTGGTTGTCAACACCAAGAGCAACATTCACATTCTGTGGCCCTGATGATCCTGAGCCAATCCGGACCCAAGCAGACACTTGATAAGTCAAAAAGAGTTTCACTTTATCAGTGATGATCTGGGCTGGACCCATCCATGTTTGTGTTCGATTAGTTACTAGGATATACCGCCCATTTAAGAGTTCATGAGGACCAAGAGAATCTCTTGCCATTGGTGGAATTATATGTGGTGAACCACTTTTAACACTTAAAGTGCAATTGCCAAGGGGAAACCATCCATTGGTGCCATCAGCTAGATTGCTGTTTTGAATTATATTAACCCCAAAAGTAACATTCTGCAAAACAAAATCAACTTTTAGGTGCTTGTAACATAGAATTGAAAGCACAACCAAATTATATAAGCTTTTGCAATGCTTGTGCAAAACAAATGTTCAGAAAACACTAGCATTAATGTTATCAAAGTAATTTACGAAATAAGAATGCTGCAAATGTACAACCTTTACATCTGGTGGGGTTGAAGGAGATGTTTTAGCTGCGTGCTTTAAGACCAAATTATTGAGAAGAATGTCAGTTCCTGGAGGGGGACCCTCTAAGTAAAGGACCACTTTTGATGGAGAACCATTTAGAAGGAATTTTCCCTGCAGAGTAACCCAATCCTTATCTGTTGCCTGCAAACTTCAGAACACACCAACTTTGTTCAGCAAGCGGAAGAAATGTTAAAGTAGCATGCTAATGTTAATATATCACTAAAACATACTACAAATTTCTTTCTGTTTTGTTTATCAAGATTCAAGAATAATAAACAGCCATGCTATGCATCAGATTCTAGTACAGTGATAGAAAAATAAGACAGATACTAACTTTGCAATGCCTATATACTGATCTTTAAGATCTGGTGCTTGGACCCACAAAGTAGCCCGTACATCAGCAGTAGAGACATTGTTTCCAAAAATTCTAACTAAAGCAGTGACCTCATAGGCCAGTTTGCGCTGCACGCGTCCAGTGATATCTTGCTGAATTCCATTCCAGTTCTGTGTCCGTTCTGTCGCAGATGCAAAGAATTTCCCTGATTTTGGAACAATTTTTCCATCATTCATGGAATCATGCAACACAATCTTGCAGCCTCTTCCAGACCAGTTATTCAGACCATCATCAAATTGCGGGTTGATGATGATGTTCTCATCTCCCGCTGAAACACATGCTGGGCCTGTGGTCTTTTAAAATAAGAGGAAAAAGGTACACTTAGTAAGTTGAAAACATACAGATTCGACAAGACTTATAATTACACTAACAAATATTTATTGCAATTTCAATCAGACCACAGAAGAAGTAATAACCAATGCACAAGCATGAGCTTGATATTTATCAGAGTATTAGACTATGTCAGTATGTAGAATTGCACAGAGAAATAACATTTCCATGAATACATAACTTCATAACCTACATCATTATTCGAAGTGGAACAATTTATTTCTACTGATCGTATGAGAAGATCAACTCCTGGAGCAGGTCCTTCCAAGTAAAATACAACCCGATCAGGCATAGTTGATAATGAGAATTTCCCTTCCAACTTCTCCCAGCTATCCTTATTAACAGAAGTTCTGCAGAAAATCATGGTAATGTAAGGGCGTTTTCCAGAATTTCTTCAAAACAAGGAAGAAGATACAATGAAATCACAATACCTTCCAATGAACAAGTAACTAGTAGCTGAATCGTGATATTCTAGTTTCAGAGTAGCTAGAACATCACTAGATCCCTGAGAAACACTGGATACTCCCACACAAGCCAAAACTGTGTAAGTGTAACCAGTGGAAATTCTGTCTGTGATGTCTTGCTCAAGGCCTTGCCAGCATTCCTTTCTGTCAGTAATAACAGCATAATTAGCACCCAACTCCATCGATATTCCTCCTTGAGCACCTGATTCAGCTGAAATTACATAGCCAGTGCAGGAATTGAGATGCCAAGAGTTCAGCCCTCTAGAAAAGTCATGATTAAGTAAAATATTTGCACCCTTGCTCCCACTTGAATCAGACATGTTTCCTGCCATGATCTGTCAAAGAAAGAAAGAACTCTGTGCATGATTTATACAGGTTATGTGTTTAGCATATTGGGAAGAACTCCCCTAATTCCCAAATGTGACCTTCCATAACTTTTGAACTGTATATATTGTTTTATCTGCTGGCTAATTAGATTTGTTTTATTTTGCCATAAGAAAACTTAAGAATGAAGCTTGTAATGGTCATCTGAGAGGCATGATCTCAGACTCCATCCCTTGTGAAGCTACCAAATTAGGCAATGTGGTTAATGCAGGACAACCTTCATTAATAAAAGGAATAGGCTAACTAATCAAGGGGTGCTAAAGCAGAAATGCCAGAGGCATGAGCAATTCATAACTAAAAAAACAAGAATCATTAAGCAAAGACAATCTGAAAGATTTTAAGCTTTGACACAGAAAGAAACTACCCTCAGTGGTAGGATACCTGAGATTGAGATTGGTTATGCTTCCTTTGAGAGTGAAACTTAGAGATTCTGCTTGTGAAGCAGCACGCAGAGAACCTCTTCATTATATACCCATTTGCTCAGCAAATTTGTGAGTGAAGGCTACGGATAACACGGGGGCCAACCAGAAAACTTGATCCTTCATTTGGATATATTATTATCCAACCAAACCCTTTGGGATAAAATGAATTTAAAACTCAAACAACATTAACAGACTCTTTCAAATAAATCAAATACCTAAAAAATTAAAAAAATTAAAAGTAGCTTTCTTGAATTTCCTTTTATTCTGCCTCTTCTCTCGTGCCTCACTAGTGCTTTTTGCTTTATCTTGCAGATTAGTGATGCTTGAATTGGAATGGAAGCCTAAGTAAGGATGAAGGATAGGAAGTTAAGGATGAATTCTTTGGTTCCTTAATGGAATATTAAAAATCTGATCCAATTGGATGAGTCTTAGATTACAAGATTTTGCAGTGTTAGGTGGAATTGGCTTTTCAATCCGTACTTATAACACAATGGATCCAATTTACTACGTATATATATGAACATACAAACTTGAATTGAATTGCAGATATCCAACAAGACACAACAACACTACTGCTACTGTAATACAGTCTCTATAGCACCTTGCAACATTCAAATTCCAACGAAACCAAAATCCTAAACCCTATGTTTATATCCTCGTACTAAACCTTTAAGTCACGTTGCTCTTAATCTACAAGTAAAACCATGTTTACAAGGCTTATTATTTATATTATAAGTTTACAGTAATAGCTCGCAAGTGTGTGAATATTTGGAACCATGCAATTGAAATAAAATAATAAATGATAGAATATGATTTTTTTTAATAGGAAAATTATGGAATATGATATGACGCAGTGAGTGGGTTACCTAAATCAAAATGAAGTAGTTGTTGTGTGTGTCTCCGGTTCGGTTCAACAAGAAAAGGAGCGGTTCGTGCGATTAAGAGGTGGTGGTGCTGTGAGAAACGCTGCGTTTCATGGTTTCGGGAGATTCTGATTTTGGAGAAGTATGTGCCATCTAACAGTGTTTTTCAAATTTTAAGTGAAGACATAAAGTTTAAGATTTCAGATTCAAAGGATTGAATGAGACCGTTAAGCATAAAAAAATCACTCAGCAATTTTTCTCTTAAGCAGTTTAGAGAAAAATATTATAAAAATGAAAATCACCTTGTATACTATAAATTAACTCATACTAATTACATAATAGAAGTGCAGTCCAGTGGTAATTTTTAACATACATAATAAAAATGTTTTTTTCTTAAGGGCGTGACTTTAAATATTTCTAAGTAAATATAAAAAAAATAATCTTCTTGATACATCAATACACATTGTCATTATATATTTTAATAATGTTTTATCGAGATATAAAAATATAAATGCATATTTCTTCATTTGTCATAAATGCATTTTCATTGTTCAATTCCACAAAGTTCATTATCGGAATATACAACGAAAGCTTATTGTTGTGAAGTCAACCTTAATGCAAAAAACATTTTTATTGCGTATTTCAAAGTATACAATGGAAGCAAATTTTAGACAGTACATATCTTGATATGATCTGGTGACCAATAATAAAAGTCTCCAGAATATGAACAAATTAAAAACATGAGTACACTGAAGCAGATATATTCAAGTCGTCAAAAAGAGAACTTTGACAAATCAAAGAAGTTTCAGTATGTTACTTCAATGTACTTGGACTTCAACCTATGATGTAGTAACATCCGAAATTTTGAACAGCAAAGTATACATTTGCCTAAACTATTAAATACTAGTGACCACCATTTATTTTCCCTTGAGTTGATTAACAAATTGCATCATGCAATTAAGTTCAGACTAAATACGATGACATAAGATTCCAACTAATTCTCATGTGGGATGGCATTGTTGCCACAAATCGAAGAACATCAGGCTGCTGGCTGAATGAACTCTGTAGTTCTTCTGAACTATTGTTCAAAACTTGTAGAAACTTAGCGATGTTGGGGAGCACAAGTTCTCTGCAGTGAAGATGCAATAGAGGAACCTTCGATAAAACACTTCCCTTCTGAACATCAAGGCCTTCTGGCCTACGCAACTTGTATGGTTTTCCAGTTGTTGGCTCGATATCGATTCGCGGCATTTGTTTCCATCGGCTGTGCACAAACCAGCCATACTTGTAGTCACCCACTATTGGTGTGCCAAGTGCTTCAGCGCAATGGACGCGCAACTGGAAAATGGGAACAGAAATCACATGAACTCTCTTGCTAAAATATTACTTCGCAAAACAGAAATATATTAAAACAGGGAATTATTTTAAAAGTTAACTGATACCATAAACTTACCACATTGGAACAATACAGAATTCATCATGTAGTAAACAGAGAGATAGAGAGAGAATAGAAATTGAAACCAATATACCTGATGTTTCCTGTAAGTAAGAGGACGTAGCTCCACCCACGAGCATCCATTTATCTTTGGACCAAGCACCCGATACTCAGTTACAGCCTCTTGGCGTGGTTCTACACTTGAATGGTGAGCTAGTATTATCCTCTCAGTCTTCCCATCATTTAGAAGCACCTGGAATAAGAAGGCTTACAATCAACACACTAGAAGGTAGCAGCCACTAAAAACATGTTATCACTGAATGCATATAGAGAAGAGAATAAAAATGAAAGAGATCATAAACCTTAGAAAGAGGAGCATGAATTACGCCTTCCTTCTCTTTGGGAGTCCCTATGACCAATGCCCAATACCTCTGATACGTAGCTTCACATGCATCATTCCAAGCCTAAAATAGCCAATTAATGTTACAATTCAAATGAAAATATCAATCAGTTGTTCAGAGTGTTTTCAAAAATTCACTAATTAAACAAGACGTATTATTTATTGTATGTAAGGCACCTTACAAGAAGATTTGGCATTGTTAATGTTAGTGAACAACCATTGGAGATGAGATGCACTATCTTTAGTTCTCCCCAGTAAAAGGATGCCACTGGTCTCTCTGTCAAGACGGTGAACCTGAAAAGGCCAGTAAAAAATTATGTATGTATCTTTAATATGAAAAAACCATTTGTACTGAACAAATTCACAGTTTAAAACATATTAACAGAGTAGAAGAGCTGAAAATTTAACTACACCATTTGACATTATGAAGAAAATAATCAGGAATTCAGGTTAGTTAAGAAACATTAAGCAAAAATCTTCAAATTTTAAAAGCTTTACATTGGTGAATGAAATACTTACATTTAGTGTCATCAATATCTATGTATTTTTAAATCTTTTCTAGTTTCAAACAAACTAAACTATAATATTTCTTAGAAAGTGGACTTTAAGCCTAACTTAACATCATAAAATCTTTAGTCACATCTTTAGTCGGTGTACTATCTCCAATACACCTAATCACATCAAGGACTTGACATCTTGAACATGGGACTGTAAGAAAAAATTCAAACAACAACAGATGTAATAATTGTTAGAGAAAAGGACACAAGCAGAAAAAATATTCAAAACTCAATAGACAGATTGAGTAATTGAGAGTCTATATCTCTTTTTAAGCATAGGACATATTCTTTGTCATGGTTTCAATTATAGGACTGTGCCTCAAATGAATCTATTCCTATTGATAGTTGGCTTGAAGGTTTGTCATCCAATGAGAAACCGGGACTAAGCCATGAAATTGAAAAAACCATTCAGAGTGGCCACAGATCTTCTTCTGCTAATATTTTTGTAAAACTGGAAGGGCAACATATCTAAATGAATAAATATCCATTTGTTAGATGATGAAATATATGCCAAATCGTTCCACTGTAATGATGAACAAGAGTTAGAGTAGTTTACTAGTTTAGGGCCCTCATCATAATCATAGGACAGTGCAGCAGCTGCCAATGCGTCCATGCTATTGTGAACTGGTAAACTCCCCTAACAAAGTATAAGCAAGAAATTAGAATCACATAATAAACTCAGTGAATTACTGTAAATGTGAAAGAATAGAAATTTGAACCTTAACCGGCAACTTTGGAGGTTTATTAAGCACAATAATAGCTGAGTCCTGAAAGTAATACATTTGATTGCATTTCGCAATAAATAAAATTTATTTTAATGGAATTGAATAATAAGAATAGCAACAAAAGACTGTAAGAAATAAAATAAATTTGATATTGAACGAAAGGGTATACCTTGTAAATCACAAGCCTTTGCAGATACTTAATTTCGTCAGCATTTGGATATAGTGTTCCACAAGGAATAGCATCATATCTTTTGGAAATCCTAGTCTCAGCAATTGATACAGGAACGTGAACTCTGGCACCAAGTTCCATCACTTCATTAGGTCTAATCTGCATTTAAGCTGTACAGTTGTAGTATTATTAAACCTAAAACAAATCTAAGGCAATTGACTAAAATCTGCTGTTGAAAAACTGATACAGAGACAAAGGGGGGAAATTACCCAAAGTGGTTTTTTCATAGAAAACAGTGAATTAACAGGATAGATATAGACATGAATACCTTTCGCATGGATTTCATCAGAGTATCTTTCCGAGTGTAAGAGTCAGCAGCAACTAGGACCTCCATTTGCACCTAGAATATGAAATTAGCAACCAGGCCTGTAAGTACACTTATCTATTATTTTATATCTGACCATTAAACATGAACTGAATAATATTTAATACAGAAATGTAGATGCTAATATCTTGTTAGCTGTTTCAATTTGCAAAGCAAATAGAGTTTTACAAGAATATCCCTTCAAATGTAATAGCTGATGTCATCATAAATAGGAAGGAATTACTTCAAACTATGGATGAAGATAAAGAGAGGGAGGCAAAAGTAAGAGCTCTACAAAGTTAGGAAAATTTTAAAGAAAATAGGCAATAGTTATCATGAAATAAACCCTTTGTTTGGGTATGAAGTTTGCAAGGAACAAGATAAGACTTCTTAGTAACCTTGCGTTTGGTTACATGCATAAGAGGAGGAGTATTTGGCCTCCTTTTCTTCCCTCAAGCCTCCTATACAAGGAATTCCTTAGACTATTTTTAAAACACTTGTACTTTGGAAAGAAAAGTCATTTATATGCAAAAGCCTTATGTGCTAGTGAGAAGTGGAGAACTTCTCTCTTTTAGATTCTTATCTTCAGAACTGTCTCAAGTAGCAGACCAACTTGCTTATCTCACAGAGTTTGACTGGCACGAGATTTTTTCTAATTTTTAACTTCTAAGTCATAATCTTGGTTAGCTTATTGAGCACTGGCTCTATTATTTATTCTTACTTTTTTTCTTCTTTTATTGAAGGTGAAAGCACCAAGTTCTGTTTGTGGGAGACGGAAAGCACCAAGTTCTGTTTGTGGGAGACGGGTGGGTGGATAGGTGTGGAGACTCAACCTCACCAATTCTTCCAGAAAAAAGTCCCAATAAAGATTGTACAACCAATTTAAGGCAATGACAAATATAATAGATTAGGCATCACATTAGTATTATCAATTCTGGGTTGCAGAAAATAGAGGAAGTCCAATAAAAAGCTATATCATATAGCGGAAGTCACATAACTGTTGAAATATATGATATATCAATTCTATGTGTATATAAAGATAAGCCGTCTGCAAATAAAATTTGGCATTGCATTAACTCAGAAGTTCCATTGGCAGAAGAATTATCAAACATGACAAGATGAAGCAGGACGCATGATGCAACTATAACAATGATAGTCAACGCAATAAGAGTTGCAATTTGGAGTCAAGAAATTTCACTATACGATAACACTATGGCACCTATTTAACAACACTGCAGCAGCTAAAATAAAGTGTAAATACAATAAAGTACAAGACACTTACAAGACCCTCTCTGAAATGGGATTCAATGACAGAACCCCATGTACCCTTGAAGTAATACTTAATCCAATTGACAGCAGTAACATAATCACGCTGTCCAGGACCACTATTTGAGCTCTTGGCAGGCAAGGGGTGGCCAGGAAAAGGAGGCAATGATAACAGCTGTCTGGGTTTTGGACCTTTTTTAGGAGCATCCAGGCGAGCAATATTGTTAGATACTCTGATTACTGGTTTAACAGAAACAGGCCTTGGGGGTTGAATTCTAGAGTAGTGCCTCACTACGAACAGCAATGTGCAGCTATTACTATTATTACTCACATGATTCAACATCTGTAGCCAACAAAGGAAAACACTAGTTCATTAGTAGAAAAAGATCGGCTGTTGGGCCTTTATTTCTTTATTCAAGATAGAATGTTCCGAGAGTAATCACATTCGCAGGTACAATCAGTAAAAAGGTAAAAGTTGAACCAGAAAAGTTGCAAAAAAGGCAGTACAAATGTTTAACAAATGAGAAAGCTCGCTATGTTGTTTAAGGATCGTGTTCTCACTTTCTTTTCATTTATTAGTAGTTACTAAAAATTGGCTTTTCATNTACTTTAAAGTGTCATGTGTCAAAAATACAAGGATTCTAAGATAGAAAATAAATCAAATTTGTCACATAACAAACTTAAATTTTGATACATAATATTTTTAAACTGTATTTACAATAAAACTACCTACAACATAAATAAAAACTATCTACAAAATAAATAAAAACTATTTACAATACAATTATAAAAATTATTTATATTTAATTTTATAATTATAATAATAACAATTTATTATTTTGTATTATCATAAAAAAAACAAGTGAACACTGCATATGCGTATTTTCACTATTATCGATAGTAAGTTTTGTAAATTATTAAATATGAAAATGAATTGTAATATGGAATTCTTACCAAATAACATTTTTTTTTTCACATTCTATATATAAGAATGTCAAATAAAAATATTATACAATAATAAACTATTTAAAATGTGATTTTGTTAACTAATTATATTCAATTAGATAATATTATCATGAAATTATAAACCCATATTAAATTTGGGGCAAATTTCATGTTTGTAAGGATTAAAAAAAAATAATGAAATATGTTAATTAAATTTTTAAAATTTGGTTAGAATTTTCTGGCTTGATTATATAACCCTAATTAGTCATATTCCAATACGACTTTAAAAATTTTCTAAGACATAAAAAAGTCATATATGTCTCAATCTCTTTCCACTAAAATAATTTCCATAGCTAATGATTATATTTCATGTAGCTTGCAAATAACATTTGAATAATTAGGTCAATGTCTGCAATATTGTCTCATACTGGAGTTGTTACTTGTTTTCTGAGTCAAAACCAGAGTTTTTTTATTACTACGTACTTTAATCACTACAAAGTTCAGGAATCTTATCCTTAAAAATAGAATAAGACTACTAATGTCATTGTTCATGTGCCAACCATAAAGCTTACTTGACTATGTTTGCTCATTGCTTTTAATATTTTTTTTTGCAGAAAATCAATGCACTCTATTTAAATAAGTTGTTTATTTAAAAAATTTAAGTTCTGTAATGATTATAGATTTACAATTTTGAAAGCGAAATTAATATTTTGAAAAAAAAAAATAGAAGATTGTTAATTTTCTTAACCAATAATATGAAATTCATATTTTCCAAATTTCAATTTCATTTTTTTATGTCACTTTTAAAATTAAATTTTCAAAAAGGCTAAAGAACATTTTAAGGAGTGCACATTTTTTTAAAAACATGCAAAAAGTAATTCCCATACAAAATTGGAATGCCTTGAAAGCTGGCCAAAACAACTTGTTTATTCTCATGTTTGCATATATCAGTTTTAACACATGTTTGTATGATGTTCTACATCTGCTTCCTTATGGCATTATATATAAGGATGAATATTCCTTGAGAAATAGCTTTAGTATAAAAAAGACAAACATTAGGATAAACACTAAAGACCAAAACTTTATATTCTCTTTTTCTAAATAGGATTTCACTTTTACATTTGGACTAGTATGAAACATGCTTGTATTTTCATATAAAAAAAGGAAACACCACCTTTGAAATTGTTCTTCATTTTGTACTTTAACACACATCATATGAAAATTGCTTTGGGAAATCATGTTGAGTTAGAGATGTTTTAGTGGTTTATTGAGGTAATTTTTCTATTGAAATNATTAAATGTACTGTAAAAGAATACATATTTTACCAAATAAAAAGTTTTAAGATTGGGTTAAATATGTTTTTAGTCCCTAAACTATTGGCCGTTTCTGGTTTTCGTCCCTCTTCTAAAGTAAGGTATAATTTGGTCCTCATTCTTTAGAAAAACGGTTCGTTTAGTCCTCAAAATTTGTTTTTAGTCCTTAGCTCGTTTTAATCCTCAAAACGTTCGCTTTTTCGACTAAAACGAACGTTTTTTAAAAATTGAGGACTAAATTGTACCTTACTTTGAAAGACGGACGAAAACCAAAAACTGTCAATAGTTTAGGGACTAAAAACATATTTAACCCTTTAAGATTCCTTTAAGATTTGAATAGTATGTTTTTATTTTTCTTTCAAAATCGGTCAGAAAAAAGAAGCCCGGGAGTTCTCTTCTCACACTATCATCTCTCACACAAAACACTGCGGTTCCCTTTTCTCACACTGTCGTGAATTCCCTTTTTCCGGCAAAGCTATCGTCATCGGCGGCGAAACCCTTGTCGCAGTCATTGAAACCAAGCTCCTGGCGCTGGCGAAACCCTTTGTGGCCGCATAAGATCCCTATTGTCGTCCCAACAAAGGCTCAGACGAAGCTCCAAATGAAACCCTATTATAAAGCTGCTCTGAAGCTTTCAATTAAGGTAACCCATTCCTATCCACTAAATATCGCCTCTTCATTGTTGTAACAAACCACATAATGTCTCAAATTGAAGTTTATTTGGAATGTGGATTTGGGGCCATTGAAGCTGAGATAGTGATTGGGTGGGGTGGTTTTGTTTGGAAGAAGGGGTTGGATTCTTCACGGCCAGGTCTATCTGAATCAGTTTGGCCATAAGCTGTTTATCGAGGCTGAGTAACATGAGATAAGTGAGTTTTCTGATGAAGCAGATTACTTTTCTTTTGGCAAATGATGGCAGTTGGACAAACTTAAAGAAGAGAAGGGACGAGGATGAGGAGGCAGAGGATAAAGATGACTTGTACAATTTTATTTTTCAAAACAAGCTAACGGAATAATGCATTTGTCTGAAGAATGCCATTTCAGAAATCTCTTTACAATTATTTGTTCTTTTAAGATTAACTTATCAATGCCTCACACTGTGAAGGACAAATTTAGTGATTTCAGAAATGTCTGACTTTAAACCAACTACCAAGCATGTTTTTTTCACAAGCGGAGCTTTCTTGTTGATGTTGGGTGAAGGTTTATCCAGGCATCGTGTAAATTTTAGTTATGTTAAGGCAATCTAACGCTTCGCAACTTTGATTGTTTGGATAATCTGTTTAGTAGTTATCTTTAGTATCTTGACAAAAAAGTCCATGCATGCACGATGAAAAGCCAATTTTTAGTAACTACTAATAAATGAAAAGAAAGTGAGAACACGATCCTTAAACAACATAGCGAGCTTTCTCATTTGTTAAACATTTGTACTGCCTTTTTTGCAACTTTTCTGGTTCAACTTTTACCTTTTTACTGATTGTACCTGCGAATTGATTACTCTCGGAACATTCTATCTTGAATAAAGAAATAAAGGCCCAACAGCCGATCTTTTTCTACTAATGAACTAGTGTTTTCCTTTGTTGGCTACAGATGTTGAATCATGTGAGTAATAATAGTAATAGCTGCACATTAGCTGTTCGTAGTATAAGAGGCACTACTCTAGAATTCAACCCCCAAGGCCTGTTTCTGTTAAACCAGTAATCAGAGTATCTAACAATATTGCTCGCCTGGATGCTCCTAAAAAAGGTCCAAAACCCAGACAGCTGTTATCATTGCCTCCTTTTCCTGGCCACCCCTTGCCTGCCAAGAGCTCAAATAGTGGTCCTGGACAGCGTGATTATGTTACTGCTGTCAATTGGATTAAGTATTACTTCAAGGGTACATGGGGTTCTGTCATTGAATCCCATTTCAGAGAGGGTCTTGTAAGTGTCTTGTACTTTATTGTATTTACACTTTATTTTAGCTGCTGCAGTGTTGTTAAATAGGTGCCATAGTGTTATCGTATAGTGAAATTTCTTGACTCCAAATTGCAACTCTTATTGCGTTGACTATCATTGTTATAGTTGCATCATGCGTCCTGCTTCATCTTGTCATGTTTGATAATTCTTCTGCCAATGGAACTTCTGAGTTAATGCAATGCCAAATTTTATTTGCAGACGGCTTATCTTTATATACACATAGAATTGATATATCATATATTTCAACAGTTATGTGACTTCCGCTATATGATATAGCTTTTTATTGGACTTCCTCTATTTTCTGCAACCCAGAATTGATAATACTAATGTGATGCCTAATCTAATTATATTTGTCATTGCCTTAAATGGTTGTACAATCTTTATTGGGACCTTTTTTCTGGAAGAATTGGTGCAGGTTGAGTCCTCCACACCTATCCACCCACCCCTACAACAACTGGTGCTTCCGCTCACAAACAGAACTTGGGCTTTCACCTTCAATAAAAGAAGAAAAAAAGTAAGAAATAAATAATAGAGCCAGTGCTCAATAAGCTAACCAAGATTATGACTTAGAAGTTAAAAATTAGAAAAAATCTCGTGCCAGTCAAACTCTGTGAGATAAGCAAGTTGGTCTGCTACTTGAGACAGTTCTGAAGATAAGAATCTAAAAGAGAGAAGTTCTCCACTTCTCACTAGCACATAAGGCTTTTGCATATAAATGACTTTTCTTTCCAAAGTACAAGTGTTTTAAAAATAGTCTAAGGAATTCCTTGTATAGGAGGCTTGAGGGAAGAAAGGAGGCCAAATACTCCTCCTCTTATGCATGTAACCAAACGCAAGGTTACTCTAGGAAGTCTTATCTTGTTTCCTTGCTAACTTCATACCCAAACAAAGGGTTTATTTCATGATAACTATTGCCTATTTTCTTTAAAAGTTTCCTAACTTGTAGAGCTCGTTACTTGTGCAAGAAACTACCCTCTCTTAATCTTCATCCATAGTTTGAAAGTAATTTCCTTCCTATTTATATGACATCCGCTACTTACATGAAGGGATATTCTTGTAAACCTATTTGCTTTGCAAATTGAAACAGCTAACAAGATATTAGCATCTACATTTCTGTATTAATATTATTCAGTCATGTTTAATGGTCAGATATAAAATAATAGATAAGTGTACTTACAGGCCTGGTTGCTAATTTCATATTCTAGGTGCAAATGGAGGACTGTTGCTGCTGACTCTTACACTCGGAAAGATACTCTGATGAAATCCATGCGAAAGGTATTCATGTCTATATCTATCCTGTTAATTCACTGTTTTCTATGAAAAAACCACTTGGGTAATTTCCCCCTTTGTCTCTGTATCAGTTTTTCAACAGCAGATTTTAAGTCAATTGCCTTAGATTTGTTTTAGGTTTAATAATCTACAACTGTACAGCTTAACATGCAGATTAAGCCTAATGAAGTGATGGAACGTGGTGGCCAGACGTTCACGTTCCTGTATCAATTGCTGAGACTAGGATTTCCAAAAGATATGATGCTATTCCTTGTGGAACACTATATCCAAATGCTGACGAAATTAAGTATCTGCAAAGGCTTGTGATTTACAAGGTATACCCTTTCGTTCAATATCAAATTTATTTTATTTCTTACAGTCTTTTGTTGCTATTCTTATTATTCAATTCCATTAAAATAAATTTTATTTATTGCGAAATGCAATCAAATGTATTACTTTCAGGACTCAGCTATTATTGTGCTTAATAAACCTCCAAAGTTGCCGGTTAAGGTTCAAATTTCTATTCTTTCACATTTACAGTAATTCACTGAGTTTATTATGTGATTCTAATTTCTTGCTTATACTTTGTTAGGGGAGTTTACCAGTTCACAATAGCATGGACGCATTGGCAGCTGCTGCACTGTCCTATGATTATGATGAGGGCCCTAAACTAGTAAACTACTCTAACTCTTGTTCATCATTACAGTGGAACGATTTGGCATATATTTCATCATCTAACAAATGGATATTTATTCATTTAGATATGTTGCCCTTCCAGTTTTACAAAAATATTAGCAGAAGAAGATCTGTGGCCACTCTGAATGGTTTTTTCAATTTCATGGCTTAGTCCCGGTTTCTCATTGGATGACAAACCTTCAAGCCAACTATCAATAGGAATAGATTCATTTGAGGCACAGTCCTATAATTGAAACCATGACAAAGAATATGTCCTATGCTTAAAAAGAGTATATAGACTCTCAATACTCAATCTGTCTATGAGTTTTGAATATTTTTTTTCTGCTTGTGTCCTTTTCTCTAACAATTATTACATCTGTTGTTGTTTGAATTTTTTCTTACAGTCCCATGTTCAAGATGTCAAGTCCTTGATGTGATTAGGTGTATTGGAGATAGTACACCGACTAAAGATGTGACTAAAGATTTTATGATGTTAAGTTAGGCTTAAAGTCCACTTTCTAAGAAATATTATAGTTTAGTTTGTTTGAAACTAGAAAAGATTTAAAAATACATAGATATTGATGACACTAAATGTAAGTATTTCATTCACCAATGTAAAGCTTTTAAAATTTGAAGATTTTTGCTTAATGTTTCTTAACTAACCTGAATTCCTGATTATTTTCTTCATAATGTCAAATGGTGTGTGTTTAAATTTCCAGCTCTTCTACTCTGTTAATATGTTTTAAACTGGAAGTTGTTCAGTACAAAATGGTTTTTTCAATTAAGATACATACTAATTTTTTACTGGCCCTTTTCAGGTTCACCGTCTTGACAGAGAGACCAGTGGCATCCTTTTACTGGGGAGAACTAAAGATAGTGCATCTCATCTCCAATGGTTGTTCACTAACATTAACAATGCCAAATCTTCTTGTAAGGTGCCTTACATACAATAAATAATACGTCTTGTTTAATTAGTGAATTTTTGAAAACACTCTGAACAACTGATTGATATTTTCATTTGAATTGTAACATTAATTGGCTATTTTAGGCTTGGAATGATGCATGTGAAGCTACGTATCAGAGGTATTGGGCATTGGTCATAGGGACTCCCAAAGAGAAGGAAGGCGTAATTCATGCTCCTCTTTCTAAGGTTTATGATCTCTTTCATTTTTATTCTCTTCTCTATATGCATTCAGTGATAACATGTTTTTAGTGGCTGCTACCTTCTAGTGTGTTGATTGTAAGCCTTCTTATTCCAGGTGCTTCTAAATGATGGGAAGACTGAGAGGATAATACTAGCTCACCATTCAAGTGTAGAACCACGCCAAGAGGCTGTAACTGAGTATCGGGTGCTTGGTCCAAAGATAAATGGATGCTCGTGGGTGGAGCTACGTCCTCTTACTTACAGGAAACATCAGGTATATTGGTTTCAATTTCTATTCTCTCTCTATCTCTCTGTTTACTACATGATGAATTCTGTATTGTTCCAATGTGGTAAGTTTATGGTATCAGTTAACTTTTAAAATAATTCCCTGTTTTAATATATTTCTGTTTTGCGAAGTAATATTTTAGCAAGAGAGTTCATGTGATTTCTGTTCCCATTTTCCAGTTGCGCGTCCATTGCGCTGAAGCACTTGGCACACCAATAGTGGGTGACTACAAGTATGGCTGGTTTGTGCACAGCCGATGGGAAACAAATGCCGCGAAATCGATATCGAGCCAACAACTGGAAAAACCATTACAAGTTGCGTAGGCCAGAGGCCTTGATGTTCAGAAGGGAAGTGTTTTATCGAAGGTTCCTCTATTGCATCTTCACTGCAGAGAACTGTTGCTCCCAACATCGCTAAGTTTCTACAAGTTTTGAACAATAGTTCAGAAGAACTACAGAGTTCATTCAGCCAGCAGCCTGATGTTCTTCGATTTGTGGCAACAATGCCATCCCACATGAGAATTAGTTGGAATCTTATGTCATCGTATTTAGTCTGAACTTAATTGCATGATGCAATTTGTTAATCAACTCAAGGGAAAATAAATGGTGGTCACTAGTATTTAATAGTTTAGGCAAATGTATACTTTGCTGTTCAAAATTTCGGATGTTACTACATCATAGGTTGAAGTCCAAGTACATTGAAGTAACATACTGAAACTTCTTTGATTTGTCAAAGTTCTCTTTTTGACGACTTGAATATATCTGCTTCAGTGTACTCATGTTTTTAATTTGTTCATATTCTGGAGACTTTTATTATTGGTCACCAGATCATATCAAGATATGTACTGTCTAAAATTGCTTCCATTGTATACTTGAAATACGCAATAAAAATGTTTTTTGCATTAAGGTTGACTTCACAACAATAAGCTTTCGTTGTATATTCCGATAATGAACTTTGTGGAATTGAACAATGAAAATGCATTTATGACAAATGAAGAAATATGCATTTATATTTTTATATCTCGATAAAACATTATTAAAATATATAATGACAATGTGTATTGATGTATCAAGAAGATTATTTTTTTTATATTTACTTAGAAATATTTAAAGTCACGCCCTTAAGAAAAAAACATTTTTATTATGTATGTTAAAAATTACCACTGGACTGCACTTCTATTATGTAATTAGTATGAGTTAATTTATAGTATACAAGGTGATTTTCATTTTTATAATATTTTTCTCTAAACTGCTTAAGAGAAAAATTGCTGAGTGATTTTTTTATGCTTAACGGTCTCATTCAATCCTTTGAATCTGAAATCTTAAACTTTATGTCTTCACTTAAAATTTGAAAAACACTGTTAGATGGCACATACTTCTCCAAAATCAGAATCTCCCGAAACCATGAAACGCAGCGTTTCTCACAGCACCACCACCTCTTAATCGCACGAACCGCTCCTTTTCTTGTTGAACCGAACCGGAGACACACACAACAACTACTTCATTTTGATTTAGGTAACCCACTCACTGCGTCATATCATATTCCATAATTTTCCTATTAAAAAAAATCTATTCTATCATTTATTATTTTATTTCAATTGCATGGTTCCAACATATTCACACACTTGCGAGCTATTACTGTAAACTTATAATATAAATAATAAGCCTTGTAAACATGGTTTTACTTGTAGATTAAGAGCAACGTGACTTAAAGGTTTAGTACGAGGATATAAACATAGGGTTTAGGATTTTGGTTTCGTTGGAATTTGAATGTTGCAAGGTGCTATAGAGACTGTATTACAGTAGCAGTAGTGTTGTTGTGTCTTGTTGGATATCTGCAATTCAATTCAAGTTTGTATGTTCATATATATACGTAGTAAATTGGATCCATTGTGTTATAAGTACGGATTGAAAAGCAATCCACCTAACACTGCAAAATCGTGATTAACTAAGACTCATCACAAGATTCAGATGTTTAATATTCCATTAAGACCCCCAAAGAATTCATCCTTAACCTTCCTATCCTTCATCCTTACTTAGGCTTCCATTCCAATTCAAGCATCACTAATCTGCAAGATAAAGCAAAAAGCACTAGTGAGGCACGAGAGAAGAGGCAGAATAAAAGGAAATTCAAGAAAGCTACTTTTAATTTTTTTAATTTTTTAGGTATTTGATTTATTTGAAAGAGTCTGTTAATGTTGTTTGAGTTTTAAATTCATTTTATCCCAAAGGGTTTGGTTGGATAATAATATATCCAAATGAAGGATCAAGTTTTCTGGTTGGCCCGTGGTTATCCTTAGCCTTCACTCACACATTTTGGCTGAGGCAAATGGGTATATATGAAGAGGTTCTCTGCGTGATGCTTCAAAGCAGAATCTCTAAGTTTCACTCTCAAGGAAGCATAACCAATCTCATCTCAGGTATCCTACCACTGAGGGTATTTCTTTCTGTGTCAGCTTAAAATCTTTCAGATGTCTTGCTTAGATTCTTGTTTTTTTAGTTTGAATTGCTCATGCCTCTGGCATTTCTGCTTTAGCACCCCTTTGATTATTAGCCTATTCCTTTTATAATGAAGGTTGTCCTGCATTAACCACATTGCCTAATTTGGTAGCTTCACGGGATGGAGTCTGAGATCATGCCTCTCAGATGACCATTACAAGCTTCATTCTTAAGTTTTCTTATGGCAAAATAAAACAAATCTAATTAGCCAGCAGATAAAACAATATATACAGTTCAAAAGTTATGGAAGGTCACATTTGGGAATTAGGGGAGTTCTTCCCAATATGCTAAACACATAACCTGTATAAATCATGCACAGAGTTCTTTCTTTCTTTGACAGATCATGGCAGGAAACATGTCTGATTCAAGTGGGAGCAAGGGTGCAAATATTTTACTTAATCATGACTTTTCTAGAGGGTGAACTCTTGGCATCTCAATTCCTGCACTGGCTATGTAATTTCAGCTGAATCAGGTGCTCAAGGAGGAATATCGATGGAGTTGGGTGCTAATTATGCTGTTATTACTGACAGAAAGGAATGCTGGCAAGGCCTTGAGCAAGACATCACAGACAGAATTTCCACTGGTTACACTTACACAGTTTTGGCTTGTGTGGGAGTATCCAGTGTTTCTCAGGGATCTAGTGATGTTCTAGCTACTCTGAAACTAGAATATCACGATTCAGCTACTAGTTACTTGTTCATTGGAAGGTATTGTGATTTCATTGTATCTTCTTCCTTGTTTTGAAGAAATTCTGGAAAACGCCCTTACATTACCATGATTTTCTGCAGAACTTCTGTTAATAAGGATAGCTGGGAGAAGTTGGAAGGGAAATTCTCATTATCAACTATGCCTGATCGGGTTGTATTTTACTTGGAAGGACCTGCTCCAGGAGTTGATCTTCTCATACGATCAGTAGAAATAAATTGTTCCACTTCGAATAATGATGTAGGTTATGAAGTTATGTATTCATGGAAATGTTATTTCTCTGTGCAATTCTACATACTGACATAGTCTAATACTCTGATAAATATCAAGCTCATGCTTGTGCATTGGTTATTACTTCTTCTGTGGTCTGATTGAAATTGCAATAAATATTTGTTAGTGTAATTATAAGTCCTTGTCGAATCTGTATGTTTCAAACTTACTAAGTGTACCTTTTTTCCTCTTATTTTAAAAGACCACAGGCCCAGCATGTGTTTCAGCGGGAGATGAGAACATCATCATCAACCCGCAATTTGATGATGGTCTGAATAACTGTCTGGAGAGGCTGTGTATTCTTTTACAGTACATTTAATATAAGATAATAATTTTATTTCTAGTAATTTGAAGTTGAGAAAATTCTTATATGTTTGATTAATTTTCAGAAAATGTTGTTTATCAGAAATATTTTTTTAATTATATTTATTACAATTTTTTTAAGGGGTGTGAAAATTTAAATTCTTTAAACTTTGAGTTAGACATACTTGCATTGAGGGAGGTTCATATAATAAAATTTTAATTTGCGGTGTTTGGGAGAAATCCGCGATAAACATAAAAAAAAATTAAAATTAATTCTTCTTTCCTTCAACAAAAATATTGTGTAACACTTATTAAATCTTTAATACAGTATATTAAATATTAAAGTCAGTGGAAAAATTCTATTAAAATTAAATTTAAAATCTGTGCCATAATACATATATAAACATTTCGAATAATATTAATAGATACATAGCCACTTAGAAAGAATTCAATCAATTGTAAAATATATCATGGTTATCACAACTTGAAAAATATTATACATTTATAAGAAATGTCTATTCTACTGAAATGTAAACGACATTAAAACATATTTGTGGACACGGTTTTTTTATTATTAACTTTGATTTATTAAAAAGTGTATTTTTTTATGTCATGGATATCTGTAGTCAAATTAGGATATAGTTGATTTTTTTATGGAAAAAATCATAAAAAAGCTCCAATAATAATTTAATTAATAATAAAATAAAATAAAAATAGTCAACACAATAATATAATATGAAAATTCTAAAATTAGAAAAAGAAAACTAGGACAATTGTGTAATAATAGTTAGAAAATAATATTATTGATAAATTTTTATAACACATAAACAATTATCACATGTCTTTTGACTCTAATTACATTCATCCTCTAAAACAAGAATAAATTCAAATCTCACAACATTACAGTACAATAATATAGAAAAGTCAAATACAAGTTTAAAATATTTTTGACTTGGGATAAGAAACATGATGATGAGTATCAAAATAGGTCAGGCCCAACAAGACATCGTACTTGCCCTCTAAGAAAAAGGTAGGTTGGGTTGAAAATTTCAATCCGTCAACCCGTTTTAGCCCTGCCTGCCTAGTCTGCCAAATTGGCGGACCAACTCGCCCCAACCCATATTTATCAATGAAATTCTACCACTAACCATGGACCTTAAGTCCATTATATAGTCACTAACACTCACTTTCTTATTTATTGTAAGTAATGTAGGACTTTTCAAAATGTATTATTTTCAGGAACTCAAGAATTTCCACAATGATTAAAATAAACACATCTTAATTACAACAATCATTCTCTACCATAAGAGAATATACTCACTTGGAATTAAATCATTCCAACAATTTCTTTTCATTGCACACATGCATCAATGTTAATCAATGTCCCATGTATAATCACTACACACCTTGCATCAATATTAGTCAACACTCATGCACAATTACCATACACATTACATCAAAGTTAATCAATGTTTGTGTATAATCATCACACACAATGTATCCATATTAGTCAATGTATGTATATAAACACCACATTCCCTAAGTCAATGAAAACCAATATTTGTGTATAATCACCACACACCCTACATGAATATTAGTCAATGCTCATAAATAATTAACACACAACATGCATAAATGTTAATCAATGTTTGTGTATCACCACACACCTTGCATCAATATTAACCAATGCCCATGCAAAATTACCATTAGAAAATACCCATCTTAACACTCATAATTTGCCCAACCATAAACTACCATGTGCCAGTATCCACTACTCTCAGGCTTAATCAACCAGGAGATGCCACATATCATCTTTATTTCTTTTTTTCTCTTCTAGTAGATCCAACCTTGCTTTATCTTCTCTACACAACCACCATTAATGTTTCACTACAACTCACTAGAAAGGAGACTGAGGACTTTTTGTTCCTTCTTCCACAATCACCATAACCAAATTGTTAACATGCGTGTTAGAAGCTCTCGCTCCCTTATTGCGAACATTTAGCTACTCAAGCAAGAGGTGGAAACGACTTTCCTTATCTTGACCAACACCTTCATGAGAGGTAATCACTCATGCAAAATACAAACAAAAAGTAAGCTAAGTTAATACATGACTCAATAAAGGCATAGGGCAAACACGTACCGAGCATGTCAATTCATGGACAATAGGAATTCACTATGACCACCATTTTTCGAGGTGAANTTATTATTACTATTGAATATTGATATATATTATTAAATTTTAACTTAAGTATTGTAATATATTTTATTTAAAAAATATATTTATTTTAAATGCTAAGATTATATTTCGAAAATATCGGCTTTTGATACCATGATTAGCATTTTTCTAATTAAAAAAATCTCATAATACTTTTCAGTCTCGATGGTCTGCTAATAAGAAAGAAAAATTATTATTTGTGGATAGATGTTTTAAGAAATTACAAATATCTATCAAAATTAAGATAATAATTAAAAAATAAACTAAACTACACATGTAGTCCTTTATTTTGTAAATATTAAATTTAGTTTTGTATGTTTGTTTATGGAAATTTTGAACAAATGTTACAAATGATAAATAATTTCAATATAATGATCATTATAAATAATTTAAAAACAATATATTTTGATATACATTTGTTTATTTACATGTATATAACTTTTAATCATCGCTCTATTATTTAAAAATTAAGAAATTTTATAAACCATTATGTACTAAATTTCTCTTAAATTACATTGTTATCTATATATGATATGGTATCATTTGACTTAGATAAAATATATGCTACTAGAACGACACATATCAATGATGTTATATATGATTTTAGTGATAGTTTATTTGGTTATATGGGATGATAGTACTTTAATGTCACTATCAAAATAACAAAAAAAAAAATAAACACAAATTTATAATGATTCATGCTAAACAAATGTTAGTGTTTTATTGGCAGAATATCATTATGTATTTACTAAATTCTCATATGGAATAATACAAGAAGAAAAGGTAAAAATAATTACTATATAAATAGATAGTTGCATTTAATAATTGTTATCGAATTCAATAAGTTTTTTAAATATGTAAGGGACTTGAGTGATTGTATATTAAGAGTTTGTAATTTTGCCATAAAATTTTATGAGAAGATTTTCAATTTTCACAAAAGTTATATAAGAAGGTTTATTTGCATATTGAGTAATAATACTTTTGTAGAGCCTTCGTGAATATAGATCTTGAAGTGTCAAGTTGGTAGTGAAGATGACATGAAACTTATCAACAACAAGTTTAAGGAACAAGGTGAGGAGGACTGAGCATGGAGAAAGATTATTACTATAAAGAAGTGTATACAAGTCACTATGGTGATAGGTCACCAATGACAATAATGGTTTTAAGCAAATATGTTAGTAATATTAAATGTTTTTTTAAAGCATGAAGAAGAATAAATTATGACGTTGAAACTTCTAGTTGGACTTACACTTTGTTTGTGAAACTTTTTGGTCAAGAGAGAATATATTAATTCTCGAGTGGGTATTGACCAAAGTCTCACATCGAGTAATATAAAGAATGAAAAAGTATAAAAAAACTATTATATAAATGAAGAGTTGATTGCAGAGTTGTTATCACAATTCAATGAGTCTTTTAAATGTATAAAAGACTTAGGTTTTTGGGTGTCATGAAAAAATTTGTAATTTTTGTCAAAAAGTAATATGAAAAAGTTTCCCATTTTTTCCAAAAAAAAAGTTGAACAAGAAGATTTGAAGTTTTTATAAGAAAAAATTAATGTCGAATAATAATATCTTTGTCACAACTAGGATCGTGATGGACCACAAACAAACTTTTTTTTTAAGTTGAGGGAATCATCGCTATAGTTTTAAGACAAACTACAAAAACAAAAAAATTGTAAATGATTTTAGGTGTTGACAATTTCTGTTAAGTATTTGTGGATGTGATGTTGGTCTTAAGATGTCAAATTACTTCATGTTTATTATGTATTTTTATTTATGGGTATGTTTCCGATTTTTTTTTCTTGTGTCATTTCTAAAATAAAAAAATTACATGAAGTGGGAATACTTCTTCCTCCATTATATATCAAGAGGTGTTTTTTACACCTTTAGACTAAACTTCTTACAAAACATTTGTAGTGTAAAATAAACTATCAAAATCACACGATTTACTCAAATATAGAGGAAAATGACAAATAATGTGTGGAGGTATTTTTGAAAACAAATTTGCACTAAATCCTACATAATCAAATGTACAAGTATTTAAATTAGGGTTCCCAACTTTCTTCTTCCTCACAATTCCCCCTTCTTGTTTTCTTTCTTTGATGACATTAATTGTGAGTGTTTCTAAAAGTGTTGGAGGTCATTTTGCTCGTTTAGATTGATTGATGTGGATCTTTTTGTCATGGTAGGTGATTTTCTTTTATTGGATTTGAGTTTTTTTAGTCTAAATGTGTCGTTATTTTAGGTGTTATATGTCTCCATTGTATTATTGAAATTGAAATCTTGATTGTTTTTAGGAATCTCCATCACAACAACTCATGAATATCTTCCGTAAATCTCTTTGTTGGTATAATTTTTTGTTTTCACCAAAATACTTGTATGTTAAAAAATTAATCCTTGATCCATTTGTGTTTTTTTATTGTATTTCTAATTTTTTGTTTTTATTTTGTTTGATTGTTTACCATTTTTTTATATCTTGAATTCGTTACATATGTTTTGTTGTATTTGTGTGTATATTTTTCACCAAATTTTGTAAAAATAGTTAAAAACAACTAGAAATTGATGGTTAACCCAAATTATTTTATGGTAACTTATTTTAATGTATATTTAATAATAAAATCCTTACATTTGATATAATGGTAATAGATTTTAAGATAAAAAAGTTGATTTGAGACAAGTTTTAAACAGTCACAACGTTGGTTACAAAGTTCAAATTGACATTAATGGAAAAATTAGATTCTTTTATAACTTATTATAATGATTGTAATTCACTATTATATATTATTAAAATATGTTAAATATTCTATTAATAAATATTTTAATCATAATTTAATATTATTTTAATTTGTACAGATATCCTTTCTCTCTCGGTGATTAATAAACAGTGCTATGAATAAATAATTTTATTGATATCGGTGATTAATAAACAGTGCTATGAATAAATAATTTTATTGATGTTAAAATTACTCCTATGATTCATTGATTCACTATCATTACTTATGATTGATTTAGTTATTTATAGTGACTATTGATTATTTAGATTATAAATAATAAGTTTCTACTCTGTCTTAGTTTTTCTTTCCTATATTATAAAGTTTATTTCATAACATTTTTGTGTTGTAGTTATCATTTTTGACCTTGTGTTCAATAATTTCATTTATTTAAATTTCACATTTCTATTTAAGATGGTTTTAAACAATTTTTTTCTGTCTTATTTTTTGTTTTTTTTTTCTATCTCTGTGTTATAAGCTTTATTTCATAACACTTTTGTTCTTGTAATTGTCATTTATAACCTTTTTGTATTTAATAATTTTATTTATTTGAATTTAACATTAACTTTAAACAATTTTAGGTAAGAAAGAAAAGCAAAATTATCTATATTGGTTATAAAATCAAAATATTTTGACACCAGTAAAATCAAACTTTTTAAACCATAGAGATTAAAACAAACTGCAGTAACTATGAGAACAAAATTATAATTAAGCAAAAACTTCAAAAACTAACAAAAAATATTCACGTGAATAAAAAATGTATTTATTCTGAAGAGTGAAAAGGAGCATGGTTATGGAGAAATTTCGGAAAACATATTAACAAAAATTCTCTTTGAATGTATTAGATCTGAAATCGTTGCCACTGAAAACCAATCGAAATCGCTGCAATTAATTTAACCGTTTTTCAATATTTCTTTCTCTTCAGATAAGACAAGATCAGATCCACAGCGTCTCATTTCGCGGATCCACCGCCATGGATTTCATGAAGGTCTTCGATCAAACCGTTCGAGAAATGTGAGCGAGCTTCTCGATCCTTCTTTCATCCTTTTTTGCATTGCGATTTTCATTTGTGTTNTACTAGGATGAAGTCGTGTCAGTGCCACATTCAAAATACGCAACACTTTCATGGTGAAATCATCAAAAGGAAGCAACACATGCCAATAGGTTATTAAGACTAAGTATATACAAAAGAAGTTGAAAGGATACACTTCTTAACCATGACAAACATTATCTACCAGCCCTACCTTGTCCACAAACACGACATTGTCGAGGCTTTCCTTATCTAGAACAAGATGGGAATCGATGAATCTACAAACTAAAGATGATCATTTATATTTGGAGAAGTACTCACATACACCACTAACAACCCACTCATACCCAATACGCATAAGAAGGTCTTTCAACACCTCTTTTAACAAGGAAGTGGCAACACTACTAAGACTACTGGACAAAACTGCTAGGGATGTACCTACGTGTTTTATGGGCTTTATCAACTAGGGAACTACAATCATAGGAGGATAAGGACAAACACACACCTGCAAAGCGAGAACTAATTGGGAGTTTCCTCGACTATAAGAGGAAAAACAAGTGGCTCCTCAATACCTCGTAAACCTTTTTATAGACAACAAGCCAAAATCAAGAGTTATGTGCCTTCACATTCCAAACATCAGATCCGTTGAAATCTAAAGGTCTTAAGAGTGATTGTCACACTTCCCAACAAAGTGTCACATCACTTTGGACTAGGCCCGTTGTCGTGTCACACCTTTTCAAGTTTCTTCAATCCTCTCGTGGTCTTCAAGGTTTGGGAGCTACTATACTAGGATAACTTAAGAATGTCTAGTAATCCAAGATAAAGGAATTTCTCTTACAAAGATTATTAATTCGTCTAAGTCATCTCGACTCTGGAAGGCTAGTGTACATCTATGCTAGTACACCTCGGCCCCCAAGAGGTTGAAGACACCTTGACAAGACTCTTGACTAACACGTCTCGACTCTATAAGGCTAGTGTACATTTATGCCTAGTACACCTCGACCCCTAAGAGGTCAAACACACCTCAACAAGACTCTCGACTATAACATCTCAAGTGTACATATATGTCTAGTACATTTCGACCCTAAGAGATTGAAGACACTTCGACAAGACTCTCGACCAGTACATGTCAACCCCCAAATGGTTGAGGACACCTCGACTTGCACCACAAAGTAAAGGATACATGTGTCATTGTTGTGGTACAAATCTACCTAAGCGAAAGAACAAATTATAGAAAGATTAAAGATAAGTAGACGTATTAAGAAAACCTTAAAACAAAATCAAGTATGGCTCATTCAGGTATTGTAAATAGTCGTTATTTACAAGGTATGTTAGTGATCTTATTTATTGCAATATATCTATTTACTATCAGTAACTAACTTGAGCGTCAAAGTGTCTTTGTAGGTTCGCCGATGTCACACCACCCTCATCGAAAGTGAACATCTCAACATTCGTGGTGAATAAGACTTGTTGTCTAAAGAGTAGAAAGAATGAAAGACATTAGAGTCATCTAATAAGTCTCGACCCAAATAGAAGACTAGTGAACCTTTGGGTATATCTTTGCCTGGTAGGAACATAACGTGAAAACCCCAAAACCAGAGAAAAACCATGATTTTTGTCTAGTGACAACTAAAGAATAACACTATGTGAAATTTATTAAAACACATAGACAATTCTCTAATGTTTTTTTGACCCCAAATACACTCACACTCTTCAAAGTAAGAATTTAACTTAAACCTCACAACACTATATTACAAGAGTATAGGAAAAATCAAATATAAATTTAAAATGTCTTTAGGTTGGGAGAAGAAACACCATGGACCTTAAGTCCATTGTATAATCACTAACAAACACTCCCTTTCTTATCTTAGGTGATGTAGGACTTTTCAAAATGTATTTTTTTTATCAATTTAACAATATATGTCTAACACACTTTGCTAGAATATTATATTAGGAAGTGAGTTTAAGTTTGAGTAATCCCCTTAAATGTTTGAAAAAACTGATTGTAAACTAAGGAGTATTTTCACTTATATACTTTAAATTAGTTTTAGACTTTTAGTAATTTAGTTTTTATATTTAAAGTTATGATTCACTTTAGTTTTAATAGTATTTTTTTACTCATTGAATCTTAATATTTTTAAATAGAACCAATGTGGTCTTTTTTGTTAAATTAGCATTAATAATATTTGAAATGTGTTACGTGTTAAAATTTGAAAGGATTCATGTATCAAATTAGAAAGATTTCAAGATTTCTTTATTGAGATTTTGACACAGACGACACATTTCAAATAACGTTAATATCAATTTAACAAATAAATCAAACTGACTCTCTTTAAAATATAATGAAACTCAATTAAGTTAAAAAAAGTTATAAAAATAAAAATAAATTATAAATTTAAATATACAAACTAAATTACTAATTAAACATTATTTTTGTATATGATGGGTGTGATCTTCAACCCTTTACTCTCTTTCTTTATATTTTTCAATTATAAGTTATAACAGAAAAATAGATTAAAAAAAAATTTAACTGATTTATTGCTAAGATGTAACATTTAGAAAAAAAAAACTGTGTAAAGAAGAATAATGGACAAACACCCAGTTTTGANACTGCACTGGCAGAGATTGCACAGGCTACCAAAAAATTGTAAAAAACTATCTATCTTTTTTTTTTCCGGTTATGTTGTTTTTTTTTTGTTATCATATTTTGAGAAATATTCTGATACTTGTTCTACTAAATTATTACTTCTATACTAGTACTGAATGTCAAATGGTCATGAATGTCCTCTGGACAAGACTGGGCGAAACTGGAAAAGACTGGAGATATGTATACAAGGTAATGCTTTCCAAATAATCTTGTCATTTACTAAGATTTTAAGATACAAATAGAAGTCTTTTTGGAGGTATTTTCTGTGTTGATACATACAATTTGCTTTTCTTTCAATAACTTGAATTACGGTGTGTCAGGCGTTGGCGGTTATAGAGTATTTGGTAGGACATGGATCTGAACGTGCAGTTGACGACATTATAGAACATACTTTTCAGATTTCAGTAAGGAATTCTCTTGTACTTAGCTAAATTATATTTGCAATTAATAACTGTGCTGACAAGTACAATAAAAGTATTTTCTGACGTAAAAATTTACTTTGGATTGGTAAAGGCACTTTCTAGTTTTGAATATGTTGAGCCAAGTGGGAAGGACGTAGGACTCAATGTAAGGAAGAAGGCTGAAAACATTGTGTCCCTTTTGAATGATAGGGATAAGATACATGATGTCAGAAATAAAGCTGCTGCAAACCGTGACAAGTAGGTCCAATTTGTCAATCTTTTCATCCCAGAATTATCAGGTCAACAAAACTACTACTGTAGAATGTGTTGTCAGAAAAAAAATTTCTTATTTGTCTTTTGGGTGGTCAATGTAGGTACATTGGAGTTTCTTCTAGTGGTATCACATACAAGTCTGGTGGGTCAGCCTCTTATAGTAGTGGCGGCATCTCTCAGAGCAGTGGTAAGTATGGAGGCTTTGGATCTAGAGATGGTGACAGGTTTAGTGATAACAATAGAGACAAGGGGGGATCCTATGATGAAGATTACCATGGAAAATCACACCATACTGTTGCAAGTGACAATCAAGACAACTCCTTCAAGAAGGGTTCATCACGATCTGTCAGGTACGACAAATCTAACTGCTGTTATGGTTGGCAAATAACTGTAAAGGTATTTTTATGACCGTCCCATTCTATTTTAGAGCAACTGATGATTATTTTGCAACTTAGTGCATAAATTTAGTTATTACTTCAAATTTAATTATTGATGGATGGCATTGTGGCTTATTCTGGAAAGCAATGTGACGGTAATAGAATAAAATGACATTTGTACATATGAAAAAAAAGGATAAAAAGGGTGAGTCTTGGCTTATTAGTAAGGATTTGTCTTGATACTGGTTAGTCAAGTGTTTGAATCCCAAAACAGCATTTTTGCATACGCAAGGGTAAGGTTGTGTACGATGACCCTCCCTAATACCTTAGGAAAGTGAGGAGCCTTTTGGCCTCAGAAGAACCTTTTGGCGCCAGACAAGAGTATATTAGTTTTATTTGTTGTATATACAGAAGGTATGAGGAAATTTTTGGAGGTCAATTAATTCATTATAAGCATACCATCATGCAAATGTATATCTGCACATTTAAGTTTTACTCAGTTATATCCTATATTAATGTGCTAAAAAAATATTTTAATTTATATCTTCCTTCTTTACCTTGGAGTCTGAGACAGCCTTGGTGCAAAATGAAACCTCTAATATTTATACTATTGCTCACAGAAACAAATTATTAGATGAAAAGTGAACAATAATTAGAAAAGCACCACTTTAGATATTGATGACATAAGGTTAGGATTAGTACAAACTGTANTTTTTGTATATGATGGGTGTGATCTTCAACCCTTTACTCTCTTTCTTTATATTTTTCAATTATAAGTTATAACAGAAAAATAGATTAAAAAAAAATTTAACTGATTTATTGCTAAGATGTAACATTTAGAAAAAAAAAACTGTGTAAAGAAGAATAATGGACAAACACCCAGTTTTGAACCAACAACAAACAGGCCTAGAATTTGAACCCAGATTGGGTTTGTACAAACTTGTAACAGTCTAAACATGGTCTCATCTTATCTTATTAATTATTACAAGTTAATACAATGTTTTGTCTGGTAGCTGGCTGGGTCCCCCTGCCTCAGATGACACCAACTTTATAACACCTTCACCAGAAAAAGAGTCTCAAAGTCTCATTGTTTTGTTCTTTCTGTGATTATTGGAGTTTCTGTGAGAGAGTGGTGTCGCCATGGGAAGAGCTCCTTGTTGTGACAAAGCCAATGTCAAAAGAGGACCATGGTCCCCCGAAGAAGATGCAACACTCAAAGCCTATGTGGAGTCTCATGGAACTGGTGGAAATTGGATTGCATTGCCCAAAAAAGCTGGTTTTTCTCTCTTCTTTCCCAATACTAATTCACATTTTTCAAACACTTTCTTCTCATTTCAGTATATGAATCTTTGTTCATCCTTTTTCTCAAGATCTTTTCTGCAACACCCATCTCAACCAAAACATGATTATCTTTGTTTTGTTCAACATGGAGTTTTGTTTTGTGTTATGTATATCGATACATACATTTTACTTTAATTCCAGTTTCAATTATCATTTTCTTTTGTTTATTCCTATACTCTTCATCAAAAGTTAAAGACTAATTCTTTTTGAAGCATTGAATTCACAAACTGCATATTTAAAGGCCATAATTGTATAGAAACTCATCTCACTATATTTATGATACATTAATTTGAGTTACAAATACATTGACAAATGCAACTGTTTTCTCAATCTATTTCAGTTTTCTCAGTGTTTGTTCAATTTCCAAGTCCACTAGTAGACACACTTTTTCCGCAAATGACATTATTTCCTTTGAATCCTTTTGGTCAAAATCATAAATAGCTTCTGCAGTTTACAAGGCATGAAACAAGGAATGGGAGTTTCTCCTGTTATAATACTCTTAATTAATCTCTTTATTTTGTACCTATTTTTTTCATTATTTTAATAAAAAAATATTCATCCATCTTTTATATTTATTATAAACTTCATCTATTTACTTTATTTTTTCTTTATTATATATTTTTTATTTAATATGCAGGCCTTAGACGGTGTGGGAAGAGTTGCCGCCTACGGTGGCTGAATTATCTGAGACCAGACATCAAACATGGAGGCTTCACTGAAGAAGAAGACAACATCATTTGCAATCTCTATGGCCAGATGGGAAGCAGGCAAGTTTTAATTTTCAAATTATGTAAATTTCACACTATAATATTCACCATCCATTAAAAAAATAATCAGCAACAGATATATTAATAAAATACATCCATAAGAGATTATTCTAATTGAGATTTAGCCAATGCTTATATGATTATGTCTCTGTTCACTACAGCCTATATGAGCGGTATTATTAACTGACAATTATAATAAAATTTTCATTTTACAAAAATATATTAGCTTGGACCACGTCATGTGGTACGGACCAATTCTTATATAACATGTCATTTTTTTTTTATTGAAAGGTTTAAAGATAGTGTTGTAGATTTAAGCTTTATATTATAACCAAATAAATTTATAATTATAAATTATATACCGTGAGTTTATAATTATGTGTTGGAAAAATTCATACCACGCGGTTTCGTTTAATTTATATATAACACATACATACACTTTATAGTTTTTCTGAATAGTTTGAATAATATTTTATATTTAAATTTTATAACGATAAATAGTATGTGATAATTACGAATGAGAAAAATCTTTTTCAGCACAAATTATTGTATAATTTGGGAGCTCATCATATAACACGTTAATTATTGTTTCATTTTTATTTAGGGATAAAGGGTTTTGAAACAATAATTTAACTTTAAATTTTATAACTTTTTATGTATCGGAGAAACCCATTTTAGAATAAATTATTCTATGGACAGGGACCACACGGTTTCCATCAAATTTTATATAATATGTTTGCTTTAATTTTAAAAAGAGATTTAAATTCAAATTTTATTATTGTCATTGTACAACTCATAATTTTTCTAATGAAATCCTTAACAAACCAAAACAATAGTTTAGAGTCAACAGTGGCCTAATTAATTGTTAGACTTATATGAAAAGGAAACATCACTATGTTT